CCCCAAAACCCCAAAACCCCAAAACCCCATGAATACTAATACTTTGAAATATGGTTAGATTAAAATAGTAATGAAATTAAGATTAATTATGATATCACATCAAGGATTTTGTAACATAGAGATCTTTACTGTAGAAATTTATCTCAACTGGATGACCCATATAGACTCGAGAATTCAGCAGGTTATAACAAGCAAAGCCACTAGTTACTTCTTCAAATTCAACAAACACTTTTCCGATTGAGGATGGCTTAACAGTTGTTGTCTGCATCATATCTTGAGATCTAGGTATTATCATTGATTTAATCTTTCCAAATTTACCTAGCTCCTCATTCATTTCTTTCATAATTTCTTCATACTTTATCTCATCTTCCAATATTTCTTTATTAAGAGCGGGAACTTTAATATCCATTACTGTGCTTAGGGTATTGTATCCACAGTACTAAGAAATATAAGATGCCATTGTCTCATTATGCTTGTCTAATTCCTCAAATTAGTTTATGTTATGATTCTCATTCACCCCCACAAGTGAGACTAGTTTTCCAGTTTCATATATAAAGTCATCAATCTTATCTTGAAAGTTCTTTTTATCCTCCTCTGAAAATTAATTTTGTTAGACTAAATGAGTATTTTAACCTGTTCTTCTCACATTTATATTTCTTGATCCTATTTTCATTCCATTTAGGAATTTTAAAGCATTCTGCACCCCGTTGTCATCCAGGTACTCACAAAAAGCAAACCCTCTAGAAGCGTCTATTTTAGTATCTTTCACCAAGTGGAAAGATTTTAGTTTCCCATATCTCAATAAGAGATTCTTAATCTACTCCTCTGTAAATTCTTTCGGCAGTCCTCCAACAAATATCTTATTTGGTCCTTCCTCTACTTTTGTTGAAATTATTCCTAACTCAGCAATATTTATTTAAGGAATTGCTCTTTTGGGCATAATGTTTGGCATTTTTTCGTAATCTTCAGGTCTTCTAATCCTTAGAGTTGAATTCATAAATTTGATTCCATCAAGTTAGATCATTGCACTTGTCTCTTCTACAGACCTTAGTTCTAGGAAGGTATATCTTTTATCAGGGTTATTCTGAGACTTCACAATTGGATCACCTGCCTCTAAAATGCCTCCAGCTTTTCTTAAGGTCTAAGTCAGAAATTATACAACAGCAGCATCAGTGACAGCTGCGGGGACTCCACCAACGTATAATCTTCTCGCATGGATATCGAACATACTGTTTATTGTAATAGCAGAATTTCCACCTAAAACAAGTTGATTTGAGTTACTATTTGCTAAGCTATTATTCGATGAGTTCAAATTGGTGCTCATCTATCCCATCATTTATAACTGGAACTGACTAATGGCTTATGTAGCAGAATTGTTAAGATTTCCAATATTGTATTGTCCACTTGAAGTTTTAGTTATTTGCATTGACTATAAAAGAGGTGACTCTTGGGTGGTTTTGTTGGGAGTGGATTAGCTTTAATTTAAACCTAGATCGAACCTAGATTTTCTTTTTTATGTGTTTGAATTGCTATCCCCTTTTTCTCTATCTTCTCTACTTCTGTATCTCTCTGAGCTTCTAGATCTTGACTATATATAATCAATCAATCATTCAAATTACCCTTTTCCTTTCCTTCTTATCTTTCTTTTTGTCACCTCCCATTTTCCAAACTTACTTGTAATTTAATATTATAAATTTATTTAAAATAAATAAGTAAGTCTATAAATTCTTGGAAAATAATTCCTTATGGGGTTTTGGGGTTTTGGGG